ACTTGTCCATTTTAATTATGTCCCAAATTCCTAATAGAGATATGCTTGCAGTTTCCAAATATTTGCATGATTAAAGATGTTTTCCTTGTTTCAATAAGGAACCTCAAACTGATGAGTCAGGTGGCAAGATTTATGGGATGAAGTTGTCCTGTTTATCCCCCAGCTTTCAAAAATACTGGTCTGCAATTCAGTAACAAAACAACATTCCCACCAGAGATATGCAGACTATGCCCATTAATGATGATGACATGTTTAAAAAAATACATGCATGTACCAAAAGCAGTAGATGCCAGAGAGAAAAGCCTCCAAGAAAATGTTTACTAGCCTCCCTCTTCACATCCATAAAAAGGCAGTCTATCTGAATATTAAATATAATTACACAAAGCTAACAGGCCATTGGTACACCTGGATAACATTTTCAGGTCGTTTTCGCCCTCCTTGGAGCCATACCACAGACTGTGTCATCAATCAGTTATACCACTCAAATTACACAGAAATTCTGGCTGCTTCACAAACAACTGGACAGTTCAGTTATGATAAAATGTGAGCAGAATTTTCATTGCATTGACTGACAATCAGTTATTTTGACTGTATGCAAACAGAAACAAAAGCTAACTTTTTTCAAAAATAACTTCCCATTTAGGAACTTCCCTCTTCTATCACCTAAAATCCTATCATGTTTTAAACATCAGAATTGAAGTAATAATGTTCCTCTTTCATAGTAAATGGTCTAGCAACTGATGACAGAATATGATGGTGATGACGACAACAATGATGATGATACTGGGTTTCTGAGAGAATAATTTTTATATAAAATGTTTCCTATTCAATATCCAATAGACACAAATATATGTATAAAGTAACTGAACTCCTCCAAGTCATTAGAACTGTCTTCTCTGACTTAACAGAAATTGCACATTCCCTGATTTATCTCTCTTCCCTTGAATCATCTGGTCCTTTAACACTAAAGTGCCCTCTATTTACTTCTCACCCATCAGTTCTAGGTAGCACTCAAGTTGAGAGAATGGTTTGCCCAGAATCATCAATTGACCCAATTGTTAAACCCACACTCTACAAAAAATAAGAAAGATGTCAAGAAAACTACTTCCTTAAAATTTGTGTCTAACCACTAATATACCTGGCACAGCAGGGCTTGAAGAGCAGAAATCAAGCCCTTTTCATCTCTGAATACTCAGAGTCACTTTGAGTCACTCCTCCCAGAGGGGTGATCAGTACTTGCCCCTCCTGAGAGGAGGAGTGACTTATCTGCCTGGTGAAACTTGGGAGAACCTGACATCCATGACAACATCATCCTGGAGGCAGGGTACTGTTTAGAAACAGAGAGAGTGCAGGTCCATCTCTCCTTCTCTTGGACCTGTCTATCCTTCAGTGAAGCTTTATTTATACAGCTCTGAAAACAAGTTATACTTCAATATCATAAATCATATAATTAAATGTAATCAAATGTAACTATATATACATTTGTATATATTCACTGAACTTCCATCTAAACAGTATAACTTATAATCCAAGGTAGGTGTTCAAAACATGCCTGTAAACATTCTTCTGAATATATTCTTAGTATTTTACAATCACACCGATAGCACTTAGCCCACTGACCTTAACACTGAAGTCACAATAAACTTTTTGGCCTTGAACAAAACAGACCAAGAATCCACAAGTTAATGTCATTCCCTTTGTTAACTCAGTCTAGAGTTTCCCAAAATGTGTTCCCCAAATCACTGGTCCTAAGTGATGCTTTTGAGGAAAACGTTCCACAACCAAACACAATGGTCTAGCAATAGTCCTAAACCTTCTAATTTAGCTGGACTTAACCAACCTGGCACTCTACTGTGAGATAAGTTTGGGAAATGCTGTATCAGAGCCCCTTTTTGATAATTTACAATACATATTAACAACTCTAAAAAGTCCTACACTAAATGAGTTTGTTTACTTTAGTTTAAAGCAAACACGTTTGACCTTAGAACCCTTTCCTACTTAACACCATGGAATATGCTTGGGGAAGTGCTCTTCCAGAAAGTGACACATCACATAGGATGAATCATAACTCCATGGGGCAGTTTACAGCCTCTCCCAAATCTCATGCTGTTACATGAAACGCAAACAGACACAAAGGTGCCTCTTGGCTTATTAATCACCAAAGCTGTGCATAAAAAAGAAGAATTTAAATATATAAACATGAGATGGGAAGCAGCAACTTTAATATCTATGAAAAATTATTGCAACTAACAAAAACAAATGTTAATTACTAACTGAAAATCCTAATTGCCCTCCACTTGGATTCACAAAGCACCAATTGAAATAAATTCTCTAGCCTGCTTACCATCCCAAGTACAATACCACAAGTCATCCACAAACGATTATGTCATTCTTTTTTTAGCCATCCAGATCCGAACCCCTACTCTAAGTTGTCACACATGACAGAGTTGCTCTAGACTCCCTTCTTTCAGGCGATGGTGGAGTTTATACAATAGCTAATATTTCCTGTTGTAACTGTATTGTTGTCTCAGTGGAACAGTCAATACTGAAATTTAAGAAAAAAGCTACCTGACTTTCTAAAGCAGACACTGATGTTTTATGGAATTTCTTCAGCTGGTTAGATCTGGTACCCTAGGGGAGGCATGGCTGAGGTCAATACTACAGATTAGTTTCCTCATACTGTTGGGAGTCCTGTTGATATTAACCTTAATCAAATGCCGTATTAGGCAAATTGAATGGATTTGGTCCCAGTCCCTCTCAGTCAGATTAGTAAGAGTGACCAACAGAGTAGCACACTCACGGAAAAATTCACCAGAAGTCAAGAGTGTATAGAAAGAGGTAGGAACTGTTGAGAGACAAGTCTTCATGGATCCCTCTGTTTCTGCATGTCTTGGGACAGCTTTTATTTTGGACTATCTTTTCAAAGATGTTTGTACAGCAAACAACTTGAAAGACAGAAATGACATCCCCCTCTAGGGCAAAGGAAAGTTCTGTTTGCCATTCAGGATATTAAAGCTAATGTCTCCTCCGGGGTAAAAGTTGGGCAGATTGGCTAGCAGCTCCCTTATAAGATTGAGAGGTTCCTAAACTTGGTATACCTCAATTGTGACACAAACCTTTGCACCCAGCATCTACCTGGGCCCACCTCCACATCATCGTCATAGGACTGGGGAGTAAAAGGACTGAAACAAACATAAAGCTTATGCTGTGCTTGCATAATAAAGTCCTTCAATTTTGATCCAGGAGTTTTGTCTTCTGCCAGCATCTATGAAACTGTGGCTGGATAACGTTTTATCTTGTACGTAGGATAGTATCTCAGACCCTTCACACTTTTTGACAAAGACCCAGATTAATGTACAGAGATAACAGGCTTATAAGTTGGCAGACTCAAAAGTATAATTATATCAATTCTCCCCAAACTGATCTATAGATCAGTGCAACACCAATCAAAATTCCAGCAGGATTTTTCTATTTTCATACAAATTGACAAGTGGACACTGAAATATATATGGAAATGTAAAGTACTTAGAGTAGCCAAAGCAATCTTGGAAAAGAACTAAGCTGAAGGATTTATATACTCTCTGACCTTAAGATTTACTATATAGTAATTAAGACATTGTGATAGTTGTATGAAATTAGAGAAATAGATCAATGGAACACAATATGAAATCCAGAAATTACCCCGCACATATACGGCCAAATGAATTTGACACAGACACCGACTATAATTCAATGGGGAAAGAAAAGCCTTCTCAACAAATAGTACTGGATCTACTGGATACCCATGTTTTTTTAAATGTGTTGATCCATAACTTATATTGTGCATAATGACCTAAACTACAAAGCTCCCATAAGAAAACATAGGCAAATATGTTTGAGGCCTTGGGATAGTCAAAGACTTCTTGGGAAAAAATGTAAAAGACCCAAATTATAAAAGAAAAACAATAATAAAAAGGCAAGCAATTAACCTCTTTTAAAAGGCAAAAGACTTCAATAGATGCTTCACAAAAGAGGACTTACAAATGGCCAACGAATTCATTACAAGATGTTTAATGTCATTGGCATCAGGGAAATATGAATTAAAACCACAATTAGATACCACTGCACACTCACTAAAATTACCAAAATTAAAGACTATAACACCAAAATGTTAGGGAGAATGCAGAGCAACTGGATACTGGGGGAAACTTAAAATGATACAACAACTGTGGAAAAATGTTTGGCAGAATCTTAATAGTGTGAAACCCTCCTACATTATTATTTAGCAATTCCATTCTTATATTTACCTCCCTCCAAAATGAAAACATATATCTACAAAAGGTCTTGTATACAAGGTTTATTGCAGCTTTATTCATGATAACACAAAACTGGAAACAATACAGATATCCACCAACAGGAAAATAAACTGTGGTATACAACAGAATACCACTCGTTAATAAAAAGGAACAAAGCAATAATACAAACAAAACACTAATAAATCTCAAAAGTGTTATCTTGAATGAAAGAAGCCAGACACAAAGAAATATATACCATATGACCTCATTTATATGAAGTTTTAGTACAGACAAAATCAACGCATGCAGCTAGAAATGGGAATGGTGGTTGCCTGAGGGGAGTACAGAAATAGACTGGAAAGATGCTTAAAGGAACTTCTTAGGCTGATGAAAATGTTCTACACCTTGACTGGGATGTCAAATTCTATAGACTTTGTTCTATATAATTCTCAAATCAAAAAAATGTTAAAGGCTATAAAATAGATTTTATTTAAAACTCCTTTACCTCCAGACTATTCTAGGTCTGACATCCAAATCAGACAGGCTGAACTTCAGATTATTTGCTGTTTCCACAGGTGTTAAGAGAGATATACTCGCAGACTTTACACAGCTACCAGGGCAACAATGCCAGGAAAACCTTTAATCAAGACTTGATAGTGCCTATTTGCAATCAGGAGAAGTAAACAAAGAACACCCCAATTATAAAAGCAGGTGAAACCCACCAGAAGACCTAATCAGGCACAATGTTGGCGTTCTTGATTCTTGCGACTGTGACCCTAGCCTCTGCTCACCATTCTGGTGAAAACTTTGAAGGGTAAGTGACTGACACCTTAAATGAGAAGCCCTTCTTTGCTAGCCAAAAAATTTGAACACATTACCCAATTTTAAATTTTCTCTCCTTATTTCACCATTCAGGGAGAAGGTGTTCCGTGTCAGTGTTGAAAATGAAAATGACATCAACTTTCTCCGTGAATTGGCCAGCACCAGGCAGGTAAATAACAATTCTATGCTATAGGGTTTCCTTCACACTTATTTTAAAATCTTAGATTACACTATGATTCCATCAAAGGAAGAATGACATGAAATATTAACTATAGCGCTTTTGTAGCAAGAAATAAAAACTTGAAAAACATTTAGTGCCCCCATGCCTTCTTTTTCTGCTTAAATTAGATGGCCATAAGCCCTATAGTATTATAAATCCAGGGTAACTTTTAAACAGCTTCCAGAGCATGACAACTGAATGAGCTGAAACTGTTGCAAAGGTCATAGAACATCTAATGTACAGTAACTTCCCTTCTAAGGCAAAAGAGAAAAATGATCAGCTTGGATATTACAGAAAAACTGGGCTTTTGTCCAACTTGATATTCATTTCCACATCCCATGTATCATCTGTTCTCTTTGATTTTCTTTCATTCCAAATCAAACAGCTTGAGTTTTCATGACCTTGATTCAGGCCCTCTTAATGATATGGCATGAAGGAGGTAAAGAAGGTAAAAAGCCAGGAGTGATTTTCATATTTTACTTTCAAGAAACCAAAATCTCTAGGCTACTTTATTTTAAAAAAATCACTGTATATGGGATGAAAACTGACAGTTTTAATTATATATATATAGTGTGTCAGGAAGCTATTGCTGACCACAATAGTTTACTTGATCCAATGCTGTCTTTTCATGAATATAGAAACCAAAATATTCTACTAGCTCCTAAGTATCTATCTATCCATCCATCCATCTGTCTTTCTATAGTTATCTTTTTAGCTTTTAAGGTGTGGAGGAAAAAAGAAGGTAAAGAGTGTCATAATCTGAAACAGATTCAGAAGGTTAGAATTGAAAAAGAATATAAAGCCATCTATTGCAGCCTTCCACTCAAATTTGAACTTCCTCAGTGGAAACAGCATCCCTGGTTACTAGCCCTGATAAAAACTGTTTGAGTATTTCCAAGGATAGTAGGAATACTGCTTTTTCAAGGTAGCAAATTTGCCTTACAAATTTTTTTTTTTTTTTTGCGGTACGCGGGCCTCTCACTGTTGCGGCCTCTCCCGTTGCGGAGCACAGGCTCCGAACGTGCAGGCTCAGCGGCCATGGCTCACGGGCCCAGCCGCTCCGCGGCATGTGGGATCTTTCTGGACCGGGGCACAAACCCGTGTCCCCTGCATCGGCAGGCGGACTCTCAACCACTGCACCACCAGGGAAGCCCTTACAAATCATTTTAATAGTTATACTGAGCTGAAAGCTACCTTCTCTGTCTTTGACCCACTGGACCTAGCTGAGTCAAATACTGTCTCACTTCTAAGATTTATCTTTTCCAGGCCTTCCATCATTTCTCTTAGCACTGGTTTACAGACACTTGATCATTCTGGTCACCTCTGAATATAGCTCAATCTTTCTGTCTATATTTCTTTTTTAAAATGCAGCTCTCAGAATTGACAATGGACCTCCAGGTGTGCTCTGATTAATACATACTGTAGGACCATTGCCTGCTTTCATTTGTAAAGCAGACACTTACTAATGGGGCCTAAGATTCTTTTTAGCATCTTGAACAGTTAGAATGCTCTTAGCTTATAGTAAACCTATTGCCGATCAAAACTATTAGGCTATTTTTTTCTCACATGAATCACCCTCAAGCAAGGTATTCTTCCTTCTATACTTGCCTAATTGATTTTTTAACCTAAATGCAGGATTTTAGATTTACTCTGTTAAAAATTATCTTGATAGCATATTGAGACAGTTTTAAAAATTAATTCACTCATCCAAATAATTCTTTGCCCTAACTTTGTATCACCAGCAAGTTTGATAAACATGCCTTTTTGACTTTTATCTTTGTCACTGATAAAGGAAGAACATTAAGTAAGTCAGGGGTCAGCACAGAATTAGAGGCACCCTTCATGGTTCATTCATTTAATACCTATTTATCATGAGGCTCCAATACGCCAGACACAGTGTTAAGTAAGCACTGAAAGTGGTTCATTAACCAACTCTCCTTGGATGAGTTTGCTCTACTACCCAAGTTACTGTGGTGTTACCTACAGCTAACACTGTGCTTTCCAGCTTGTAAAGAAGAATATAAATGCACAGACTTGGTCAAACGCTTTGCTAAGATCCAGATTCAGCATCCTATCAGGCTAGTGGTCTCTTTCAAGAATAACATGAAGTTAATTGGGCTTGACTTATTCTTTTTTTTTTTCTTTTTTTTGGCTTGACTTATTCTTGCTTTAAACCGTGCTGGCTCCCAAGGATCATGGCTTCCTTTTCTGAATATTCACAGTCCATCTGCTTCCAGTTTACTTTGCCAGTATCCATGCCAGGCCCCTGGAGCTCCCGCTTCTGGGATTCACGTGTCTTCCTGTTCACGAAATCCAAGACATGCCCCCTCCACTCCTCAGTGATCCCTTCAAGCTCTGATTCCTCCAAGATTGCTGAGAAAGTTCTGCAATCACATCCTCAGTATTTTTTTAGTTACCTAAAATTCAACATTTTCTGGTGGCCAAGAGCAGAGAATCCGGACTCAGACTTCCTGGGTTCGATTCCTGGCTCCACCACTTGCTAGCTGGACCTTGGATGCCTCTCCGGGTCTCAACTTTCTCATTTGTCAAATAAGGAGAATAAGAGCATTTACCTTACAGGATTGTTGTGAGATTTAAAAGAATTAATATAAGTAAAGCACTTAGAAAGAACTTACATAGTAAAAACTATGTAAGCGTTTGTTATCATTACTGTCATTCGATCCAGGATTTTGAATGCACTTTGCATTACCAGACTAATCCCCTCTCTGCTTATCTATCCTGGGCCTCAATGTTCTCTTTCCAAAGAAGGTTTTTCTGCTAAAATCATAATATTTGAAAAGTTCTTTACTTATGGTAATTTCATCTCTCAGTAGAAGTAGAAAAAACAAGAGATAGTATAACTCCTTAGAAAAGACAAAAGCCAAACAAGAGTTCAATCTGGCTGCTTCCTCTCTTCCAGCTGCAAACATACTTTAGCTCCAAGCAGTGAGACTGCGTGTTTCTTCTTTATTCATTTTATTTCCAACATGATCAAAAAAGAGATTTTTAATCGACAGATGGACGGATAAAGAAGGTGTGGTACATATATACAACGGAATATTACTCAGCCATAAAAAGAAACGAAATTGAGTTATTTGTAGTGAGGTGGATGGACTTAGAGTCTGTCATACAGAGTGAAGTAAGTCAGAAAGAGAAAGACAAATACCGTATGCTAACATATATATATGGAATTTTAAAAAAAATGGTTCTGAAGAACCTAGGTGCAGGACAGGAATAAAGACGCAGACCTAGAGAATGGACTTGAGCACATGGGGAGGGGGAAGGATAAGCTGGGACGAAGTGAGAGAGTGGCGTGGACTAATATATACTACCAAATGTAAAATAGATAGATAGTGGGAAGCAGCTGCATAGCACAGGGAGATCAGCTCGGTGCTTTGTGACCGCCTAGAGGGCTGGGATAGAGAAGGTGGGAGGGAGATGCAAGAGGGAGGACATATGGGGATATATGTACACATATAGCTGATTCACTTTGTTATAAAGCAGAAACTAACACAACATTGTAAAGCAATTATACTCCAATAAAGATGTTAAAAAAAAAGGAAGTTTTACTCTCCTTAGCAATCTTGCAAGTGCAGCATATTCTGGACTGTAGCCTTCCTGATAAGATCATTACAAGGGCATCTAGTCTTTGTATTCATCCTTGGCCATGTGTCCTTCCTCCCTGCTTTTGAACATGTCCTTTTAAAAGCTGAATGTATTGGAGAGACCTGTGACCACAATGGACTCTAGCAGCCTCCCTCTTTCCATATGTAATTGTATAGTAAGGGTTTTATTTTATCTCCTTGTTCCTTTATTGGAGACATTCCCCACAAAACCTATTCTCTTTGCTCAGTACTTTCTTGAACTCCGTTTCTGTAGTTTCAGATGCATGCCCAAGGTAACCTGGTTACAGTCTTCCAATGTTCCCAGCACTTCCATTATGACTGTAAGCTTCTCCCTGCTGTCTGGAACTAGGCCTAGAGTAGAAGTCATTTCCTCTTCCAACAAGAAAGGAAAATTCCATCAAGATAAAGGAAGAGTCTATCATATGCTCAACTCATAGTCAAACGTAACGTGAAGAAACAAATTTTTATAAATATGTGAAGAACCAAAATTCCCCAACACAAATATTTATTCTTTTATGAATCCTTCTTTTTCCCAAAAGAATTTAAGGTGAATACACTACTTGCTTTTGTGCTGGTTTTGTAATATATTTTAGGAAAGACTCTTTAAATATTAGCCAGCTGGCTGATTAAGTTGACATTCCCACAGTGGTATCACTTAAAGATATTGCTTTATCTTCCAACAAATGGTTGTCACTAAGGTTCCTGGATTTATAATTTTATAACCTCAGTTTTGTAACTCCTTTACATATAATAATTCAATTCCTCATATCTCATATCACATACTTTACTCCACTTCCATATTTTAAACATAGATCTCATTCACAAAGTGTTGGTAATTACCAAAATTTATATTTATCTCCCTGTACCAATATTTTAAGTTCATTATTTGTAACCATACTTAATGCATTGTAAACATCTATAAGGCTATAATGTTGCTCCTGATTTTTGGCTCCGTTTCTCCTAAGAACTGGAGACTAACTCCAGGTTACTAAGTCTGCATCATATTTGCAGGACTCCATAGTGTTGGATGTTGGTATGTTTGCTGACCAATTTTCTCCTTGTCAAAGGAGAGTTTTTACAGGACCTCAAGTTAGGTCTGCAAGTTCTGTCAAACATGCTTATGAGATTTCTCTACCCCATTTAAAAATATATATATATATTTTCTTAAATGGGGTTGAGAAATTATATATATATATATATATATATATATAATTTCTCCCAATATTTGGCAGAGCCAGGACAAACGTTTGTACAAGAGGTTAGACGATTAGGGAAGGCAACTTTCAACTTAATATCAGAAGGAAAACCATCAAAAGGCAATTAGGCTGTTCTGAAGTAGTACTAGATATACTCAAGATTGTATCAGAACCATCACCAAGGATATTGTGCAGGTATTTGTTACTCTAAGTGGGAAGCTACCATCTTAATGTAGGTTCCTCCAGAGCAGACCCTTAGACAAAGATTCAAGGGCAAAGATTTCATTTGGAAAGTACAGGGAGGCTGGGTAGACAAGTGAGAAGTGATACAAAGAAGGGAGGGCAGCAAACAAAAGGGGCACTATTAAGCCAGCTATCACAGAGGATGACTAGAGCTTAATCCTACAGAGAAATTCCAGGAAAGGGTGCAAACCACATGCATCAAAATTATCCCACCTGAGAAATGACAGATTTGGAATATTTAGACATCAACTTGCTAGGGTCATTGGTTAAGCACTTCTCTGGAAAGAGTTATTTCTTTGGCACCTCCTACCTGCTGCGAGCTGTTAGGCTTTTTCCAGTTTGGGGGAGTTTTCAAGCACAGAGATGCAGATCTTGGCAGTGGGGAGTCTCCTGAGCACGCTAAAAGGCCCCAGTGTTACGTATGAGTGTAGGCGCTGTCAAGTTGCCTACAGATGCTTATGTGCTTTACCAATTCTAAACCTCTGTGTCTATAATAAAGATACACCTCCCTCTCCCATCCCACCATGGAATGACAGGCATTTATTAAGAACACAAATTCAGAGTTAACTTTTAAAAATATGCTTTCTCCTATAACGTGCTTGTCTTCATGGCCCTTCTCTTTACAACGCTGGCTAACTAGAATTCATCACCAGCCCTTGCTTTCTCTGTCTTTATCATGATAAGCCTTTATACTTCCTCCACTACCTTTTTTTTTTTTTAATATTTATCTATTTATTTATTTGGCTGTGTTGGGTCTTACTTGCGGCACGCAGGATCTTCGTTGTGCTCACGGGCTCTTCATTGTAGCATGCAGGCTTCTCTGTAGCTGAGGCGTGCGGACTTCTAGAGCATGCAGGTTTAGTTGCCCCTTGGCATGTGAGATCTTAGTTTCCCGACCAGGGATCAAACCCGCGTGCCCTGCATTGGCAGGCGGATTCTCAACCACTGGACCACCAGGGAAGTCCCCCTCCACTATCCTTTAACCTCTCACCTTTATCCTCTCATCTTCGACTCAATAGATCACAATCTGCAGCCAATCCTTGTCAAATTATCAGTGCTCTCTCTTTTCAATACCTTAGTGACAACCATACTCACACTATTTCTTCTGGAATCCCTCCTGTGTAATCCTAATGTCCCTGCATCCCATTCCCCTGACCTTCCCTATGACCCTGACTCATGATTCAGTACCCTCTAGACATCTACAGAGGTTTGAAGATTACCAGGACAGGATATAGGCACCTGGATTCTCCACAGGTATATCTAAAATTGAGTCATCTTATTATCTTACATCATCAGTTTCTATTTCACAACCTCTAAGTGTGCCCAAACTCCCTTCTAAGTTCCAAAGCAATGGTCTTAAGTACCACCACCTGTCACATCTCCATCCTGAGACTAGCTCATAAATATCTAAACAGGTATTCAGTGACAAACAGGGCAGAGAAAGATCCAATGTCAGGGTCACCTCAGGTTTCTAGGCCTTTACTCAGCTCAAGCAAAGAACAGAAAAACAGAGACCTGTGAGAGGCGGAATGTCATTGGTTAATATTTTCCCAAGGAAAAAGGAGATCTGAAACCACACATCCACAAAGAAAAACATTAGAATTATCAAATATGTCATACTACTTTTGTGCACAATTTCCTCTAAAATCTCCCCATGTTTGATTTGCTCACTAGTGTATTCCTGGTCTCAGGCACAGAGCCTAGCACATAGTAGGTCCTCAGTAATAGCTGATGAATAATTGAACAAATGAAAATGTCAGCACATTATTGGATCCTCAAGAATATTTTGTTTCTGGCCATGGTTCCAACATAACCACTGTGGAAAGATACATTTTTCCTCCCTGATGGATCCTCCACAGGTCAGGGATGTTCTTGGTTCCACACATTACTATGACTTGTATAGCACTGAGTTCCAAGATAAACTCATAAAATGAGTCCATTAAAAAGTAAGAGAAAGCTCAATTTCTTGCTTTTAAATTTTGTGGCTCCAGTTAATTCAGCATCATTCATTCAGCACATGCATCCATTACCACAAACACTGCTATCACAATAAGCAACTGTTCTAGAAAATCAATAAATAGAAGAGAGCAGTTACAGAATACTGCCATTAACTAGCATTATGGGAGATAACTATATGCTCTTCATGCTTGTTCATAATCAATTAATGCTATGCATGTATGTGTAAACACTTTTATTGACATCTAACTGCTTGGTCGCAACTCTTATTCATTCAAGGGAGAGATTTTTAAGAGATTTCATGGATAATTTGAGTCTGAAAATAACTCACTGGAGTACAGCAATAGTGTGCTTGCTGGTGATAATCCACCCATTGAATTATAGGCGTCTAGTACAATACATCTTATTCCTTATTCAGATTGACTTCTGGAAACCAGATTCTGTCACACAAATCAAACCTCACAGTACAGTTGACTTCCGTGTTAAAGCAGAAGATATTTTCACTGTGGAAGACTTTCTGAAGCAGAATGAACTACAATACGAGTAAGTTTATGTTTTATAGTTATGAAAATTCTCTCTCATGTATGCTCTCATCCTGGTCTCCAAAAAAACCTGAGAAGATAAAAATAAGACCAAGATAATGGCTTCCCCAGGGCCCCACAAATAGGTCATGGGGAGCTGGCCCTGAATTCCAAGTCTTAAGATGTCAAGTCTGGTAGATTTTGTGTTTAGTTATTGCTCTAATAAAAACAGGTTTGACTCTTGAATCCCAACCAGATATTTGACCTGCTACTGGTTTTACAGGTGATATATAGACTAAAGGCCAAACCAATGGATATTCTATTATCAGCCCAACACAGTTTTAGTCCCAAATCATATCAAGTCTTCTTGCCAGGTGATCACCAGACCTATTGTGAGCCATGAGGGTTCTTCATGCTCCTTTAGATTAAGGACCAGACTAGAGTCAGACTGAGTGGTCCTTCTGTCCTTTTTCCTCCCAAAGTCCCCAACTATCTCTAATGGTAGGAGAAGGCATGGAGGGAAGGACTGAAAGAAAGGAAAGTGGTTCCCCAAAGGCCTAGAGTAGAGGTGGCTAAGCTGATCACTCCATGAATCTTCCCCAAATACCACACTGATCCATCTAAGCCTTTTAAGATGAGAATGTCCTCTAAGTGGAGACAGTTGTCCATCTGTTGATCCAACAAATAGATAGTGAGCATCTACATATAACAAATGCTGAAAAAATAGATAGGACCCATCCCCTTCAGAGGAAAATGAACAAAGAATTGCAATATGTGTAACAGATGTCAAGAAGAGTAAAGAGCTGGAATTGCAGGGGAATAGATCAAGTCTAGGGATCACGGAGGGCCATACTAGGAAAGGAGGCTTCAGCTGAGAACTAAAAGACAAGGAGTTAGCCAAACAAAGACAATGAAAAATCATAGTCTAGGTAGAGAACAGACTATATGTTAAGGCTTAGAACCTCCCTCAATCTGCATTTGAGGGAAGGAGGAAATGAGGTCTTTAGTCTAAAGCAGAGTTTTTCCTCCAGAGAGTGGATCAGCAAGGAGCAAAGAGACAATCTCACACTCCAGTCTTGAACATTCGAATGTTTAGCAAACAATCCCCTACCATAAGCTCAAGTCTCCATTATATTTTGAGAAACTGTGACCTACATAATTTTAACAGAAATTTTCTCTTATTTTTCACATCCTAAAACTACAGAATAGTATTTATGCTAGTAAAGATATCAGAATTGTCACCTATAAAATCTGCATCTCCATTAGAAGAAGTGGTACAGCATAATGCAACAAGCAAATGCCTTGGGAAAAAACAGACACGGCTTAAATCCTGACTCTGCAACTTCCTGGCTGTCTGACCTTGGATAATTTGCTTAACCTTTCTGAGCTTCAGTTCCCTTGTCTTTATAAGGAAAGGATCCTTCTAACCTTATCTTCGTAAAGTGAAGATATATATAATGCCACTCTCAAAGGGCTGTTGTGAAGATGAAATAAAACAATATGTAAGTAAATTGCAACTGATACTTTTATTGCTGTGAATGCTGCTATAGTTTACTCTTGTACAAAGAGGTAGATTATACATCTTTTAAAGGTCAACAGAAACTGTTTTGTTTAACCCCATTATCATGCTTCACACAGCTTAGCTATCTGCTTCTGCTTGAGGGAAGTGTCAAAATGTGACCTTAAGAATTGACCGTCTTTTTAAAACAAAGATATAATACAGTAAGTTTCAAAATGTGATTAAGACTCACGTCTGTGATATTTTGCTCTTTCTATTACACTAGGAAGGACTTCTAAAATCCTAGCCTATAGGAGCCCTTAATAATATTCAAAAAGATGAGTTTCCTTATAGTTCTTTAAGAAAAACAGAAGGAAGACCAGTGACCATAAGCTAACCCTAGCCACCTGAATTGACATCCTAATTCTACTCAGAACACAAAGTAGTAAAACAGCTTCTAATCAGGTAACAATCTCCTTTTACCAGGAGGAAAATTCATGTCTTTTTTTAATGCGTAAACGTTTAGGGAATTGTGTATGAATGCTGTCTCACGTAGAATATAGGATGTTCCCTGAAGGCTAAGATCTTGTTAATTTTTGCTTAGCACATTGTGGCATATAATTTCCTAAATATTAAGTAATAATAACTCCCTAGAAATCCTGGAGCAGCACACCAGCAATATCCTTGCCGGGGCTGCAAGCAGTCCCTGTGCATCCCATTATTACCTCATGTGGTAACTAATATGTATTTAGATGGTTTCCTGCTGGCAAGAATTTGCAGTTGTTTTTTCTATGTAACAGGAACCATCTACTGTACAAGTTGTACCAAAATAGCTTTTCAGATTTTTCAGTGGTTCCAACCCTCTTCACTAAGACTTTCATCATTTGGTAGTTTTAATCAGATTCTGAATTACCATGGGAAAAAATTTAAAATGTGTGCACCAAGAAAAATAACAGTATTTTTTAATAGATCTTTATTGGAGTGTAATTGCTTCACAATACTGTGTTAGTCTCTGTTGTACAACAAAGTGAATCAGCCATATGCATAAATATATCTCCACATCCCCTCCCTCTAGCTACCCATTTTACATTTGGTAGTGTATAAATGTCCATGCCACTCTCTCACTTCGCCCCAGCTTCCCCCGCCACCCCATGTCTGCAAGTCGATTATCTAAGTCTATGTCTTTATTCTGCCCCACCACTAGGTTCATCAGTACCATTCTCTTTTTTTTTTTAGATTCCATATATATGTGTTACATACGGTATTTGTTTTTCTCTTTCTGACTTACTTCACTCTGGATGACAGACTCTAGGTCTATCCACCTCACTACAAATAACTGTTTCATTTCTTTTTATGGCTGAGTAATATTCCATTGTATATATATGCCACATCTACTTTATCCATTCATCTGTCGATGGATACTTAGGTTGCTTCTATGTCCTGGCTATTGTAAATAGTACTGCAATGAACATTAGGGTCCATGTGTCTTTTTGAATTATGGTTTTCTCTGCGTATATGCCCAGTAGTGGGATTGCTGGGTCATATGGTAATTCTATTTTTAGTTTTTTAAGGAACCTCCATACTGTTCTCCATAGTGGCTGTACAAATTTACATTCCCATCAACAGTGCAAGAGGGTTCCCTTTTCACCACACCCTTTCCACTATTTATTGTTTCTAGATTTTTTTATAATGGCCATTCTGACTGCTGTGTGGTGATACCTCACTGTAGTTTTGTTTGTTTGTTTTTTTGCGGTATGTGGGCCTCTCACTGCTGTGGTCTCTCTCGCTGCAGAGCACAGGCCCCAGACGCGCAGGCCCAGTGGCCACGGCCCACGGGCCCAGCCACTCCGCAGCATGTGGGGTCCTCCCGGACCGGGGCACGAACCCGTGCCCCCCGCGTCGGCAGGCAGACTCCCAACCACTGCGCCACCAGGGAAGCCCCTCACTGTAGTTTTGATTTGCATTTCTCTAGTAATTAGTGATGTTGAGCATCTTTTCATGTGCCTCTTGGCCATCTGTATGTTTTCTTCAGTGAAATGTCTCTTTAGGTCTTCTGCCCATTTTTGGATTGGATTGTTTGTTTTTTTGATATTGAGCTCCATGAGCTGTCTGTATATTTTGGAGATTAATCCTTTCTCTGTTGTTTCAGTTGCAAGTATTTTCTCCCGTTCTGATGGTTGTCTTTTCATCTTGTTTATGGTTTCCTTTGCTGTGCAAAAGCTTTGAAGTTCCATTAGGTCCCATTTATTTATTTTTGTTTTTATTTCCATTACTCTAGGAGGTGGGTCAAAAAAGATCTTGCTGTGGTTTACGTCAAAGAGTGTTCTGCCTATGTTTTCCTCTAAGAGTTTTATACTGTCTGGTCTTATATTTATGTCTTTAATCCACTTTGAGTTTATTTTTGTGTATGGTGTTAGAGAGTGTTCTAATTTCATCCTTTTAGATGTAGCTGTCCAGTTTTCCCAGCACCACTTACTAAAGAGGCTGTCTTTTCTCCATTGTATATTCTTGCCTCCTTTGTCATAAATTAGGTTGATCATATGTGCATGGGTTTATCTCTGGGCTTTCTATCCTGTTCCACTGATCTATATTTCTGTTTTTGTGCCAGTACCATACTGTCTTGATTACTGTAGCTTTGTAGTATAGTTTGAAGTCGGGGAGCCTGATTCCTCCAGCTCTGTTTTTATCCCTCAAGACTACTTTGGCTATTCAGGGTCTTTTGTGTTTCCATATAAATTGTAAAATTTTTTGTTCTAATTCTGTGAAGAATGCCACTGGTAGTTTGAAAGGGATTGCATTGAATCTGTAGATTTCTTTGGGTACTAGAGTCATTTTCACAATGTTGATTCTTCCTATCCAAGAACATGGTATATTTCTCCATCTGTTTATCTCACCTTTAATTTCTTTCATCAGTGTTTTATAGTTTTCTGAGTACAAGTCTTTTGCCTCCTTAGGTAGGTTTATTCCTAGGTATTTTATTCTTTTTGTTGCAGTGGTAAATGGGATTGTTTCCCTAATTTCTCTTTCTGATTTTTCGTTGTTAGTGTATAGGAATGCCAGAGATTTCTGTGCATTAATTTTGTATCTTGCAACCTTACCAAATTCCCTGATTAGTTCCATTTGTTTTCTGGTGGCATCTTTAGGATTTTCTATGTATAGTATCATGTCATCTGCAAAGAGTGACAGTTTTACTTCTTCTTTTCCAACTTGTATCCCTTTTATTTCTTTTTTCTTCTCTGACTGCCGTGACTAGGACTTCCAAAACTATGTTGACTAAGAGCAGCAAGAGAGTACAACCTTGTCTTCTTCCTGATCTTAGTGGAAACGCTTTCATTTTTTCACCACTGAGTATAGTATTTGCTGTGGGTTTGTCATACATGGCCTTTATTATATTGTGGTAGGTTCCCTCTATGACCATTTTCTGAAGAGTTTTTAACATAAATGGGTGTTGAATTTTGACAAAAGCTTTTTCTGCATCTATTGAGATGATAATATGGTTTTTAGCCTTCAATTTGTTAATATGG